CTCCTGGGGGCCAGTGTCTCTCACCTGTCTGCACAGTGGAAGTACCTGGTGCAACCAAGAGTGGCAGGGCTAGCTGTGCTTGAGACCCACTACTCCATCCCATTATTGTACTTCAGTTTTTATTTGGAAATTCTTTCAAAGGTCATAGAAAGTTACAAGAGTAAAAATTATATGTGAAACTCCTGTCCTCTACCCAGATGTACCTATTGACCTCTGCCCTATTTAATGAGCCATCCCTGTCCTCAAATGTGCTTGTTCACTCTCTCCACAGACACCATGACCTGTCCCTCAAGTACCTGAGCAGGTGTTTCCACAAAATAGTCTCTGATAATCACAACATAGGTGCCAAATTGGGTACCTTTAGTGCTGATGACGTATCTGCCACTCATACCCCTTGGCCTCATGATGCTCTCTGCAGTGTTGGTCCCTCTGCTGGTCCAGAGAAGCTGTCATTCTGATCTGGACTAATCCCATAGTTTTGTCTTGAGTGATAATTGACATTATAGAAGACTGCAGTCTCCTTCGGATGGTGCTGTTCAGTGTGAGGCGTTTGACTTCCAGGTAGAAGACTGCCTGTGTTCCAGGCTCACCCAGGGCATCACATGGCGGGGGGTGGAGGAGTGCACAGTGCCCACCTACCTGCCCATGCTTGTGGTGCTCATTGTGAGCCCCGGTCTGGTAAGGAGGCCATGTGAACAGAACATTTTAAACTGTTTACTGTGTGAAGGTGGTTTACCTCCTGGCAGGATTAAAGAGAGGACTCTGAAACAGCCCAGCAGAAAGTAGCTACCACCCTCAGGACCCTGCGAGGAGAAGGCAGGCCTGCAAGGAACCTAGATACCCAGGACAGGTTCTCCTGAGGCCAAGGCTTCTGTGGAGTGGCTGCCACAGGGACACTGGGGTGCCACCCCTGTGGAGAATGCTGCTGGACCATGCCAGAAGACAAGTCCCTCCTACTCCAGCCGTGGAGGCCCCTTCAGAGATGCCATTGTCAGCTGTGAGAAAGTGCTGTCTGCAGAGCCCAGGTCAATGTAACAAGAAGAGGTAGGGAGTAAGTAACTTGGGGTGCCTAGTCAGTGTTGGCCACCGCTTTCTCTAGGATATAGTTAATTGTTTTGTTCCTCTTGACTGAAAAACAATCTCTAGAGATAGAACTAGCCGCTGATAGACATATCCTCCCCAGGTTCAGCAGATATTTCCGACTTGGGCCTGATTTGCATTTGATCATCACAAACAGTGTGGTAGGACATCGTGCCTCAGTGTAGGACTGCTGTGATGTCACCAGGTAATGGGAAGTTTTCAGCTCCTTTGTAATCTTGTACATGCCCTCTGCAGTTGACAGAAGCCTGTTACACACTGACAGCTGGCGGGCCTTTGGAAGCCGTACTCACATGGCATAAAATGAACCAGTTTGAACAATCCCACAGCAGTGCTGTACAGCCATGAGCCTAGTTGCTGAGTAGTCTTCATCATTCCATGTCAGCCCCTTTTTGCATGTAAAGGATTGTAGTAGTTTATCCTGTACCCAAAAAGGTCACATTGAGTTTCCAAGAATGTTTCCCATTGTTTTTTCCAAAGAGACTACCAATTTATATTGTCACCAGCCAGGCATGAAAATCCCCATACCCTTGTTGACCCTTGAAGTGTTGCCTGCCTTTACCTTCTGTTCTGGTAGGCAAACATGTTTCTGGCTGTTAGCCAGTCCTAGGATCTTTTAAAAGTGGTTAAGCATTCCTATCTCCTGAATTTCCAGTGTCTTGTCTTTTACCTTATTTGATAATGTTTGTTTTCTGTAGATATTAACAGTACTTAGGTAACTTTTTTGTGAGACCTCTGATTTGCTGATACTACTAGTGGGTTGTGGTAATATATTGATTATGATCTAATAAAGCCACTGAAGATCAGAAAAACAAAGCAGTAAGCCAGTAGCTCTTACCTCTGCCAAGCTAAAATGGCAATCCTATCTCCACAAATCCTCAGATACAATGCTCTCCACCAAACCTCCCTGAGTTCCTGTCTCCACCTTAGATTACTCTCTCTGCCCAGCCATATCACTCCTGTGTCCACCTCCTTAGTGCTGGGATTAAAGGTCTGAGATCCCAAGTGCTGAGATCACCTTTGTGTGAGCTGTTTCTCTTTTAGACTCAATCAATTTCATGTAGCCCAGGGTGGCCTTGAACTAACAGATCTACCTGCCTCTGTCCCCCAAGTCCTGGGATTAAAGGTGTACACCACCACCACCTGACCTCTATGGCTGTAACTAGTTTTGCATTTTGATCCTCAGTGGCTTTATTTACCACAGTGGGTGGTTGCTATGGAGGAGTACCTATATTCAGCATCCTTGCCAATCTTGAAAGCAATTGGTCTTTTCTCTGTGGCTTTCTGTTGTAGTTTCTTTAGGGTCTCCAGAGGAACCACTAAGCTTACCACTTTTAGAGGGGATTAGGGCTGTGCTAACTGGGGAAGGTGACTCACACAGGCCTTGTTCTGAGTGTATCCAATAAGGACAGAGACATGATGATTATAACCCAGGAGTGGCATCCTCAGGATCTAACACGTAGTGAACACGTAGGGTCAGGCAAGGCGATGTGGTACCATAGATGTTTTTCAAACCTTGAGCAAGAAGTATGGCGGAAGGGCTCAAGAGTTTCCTGGCTCCTACTTGCACATAGAAATCACCAGAACGTTGGGAATACAGGCTACACTCATAGATCAGGGCTCTGTGGCTGGTCCAGCCTGTAAACCTTGAATGCAGCTGGAGGTGGGTAAAGCGGGGCTTTCTCCTCCCTTGGTCTTACAGTTAGCTCTGCTGAGCACAGTTAACAAGCCCATCCCTGAAATCCCAACAGCCTGAGGCTGCTGAGGGCAGTGAGCCCCTGTATGTGGTGACCTTTTAGGAGCCACAGTGGGAAGTAGCCAGACCATACAGTAGGTCATGCTGAGCCTGCTTGGTCCAGGAGCAGCTAAGGGAAAGTTGTTGGAGTTTGGTGCTTAAGTTGTCTGGTCAAATGGTGAGTTGTTTCTGGTCACTATTGGGAAGGACTCAGTGGCAACCATGGTTGTCCCAAGGAACATACTGAATGAGCTACTGCTGCTTACAGCCAAGATCCAGAGGCTGGAGGCCTGGCTATTAAAAGTGGCAACCCCTTGCTTTTAAGTAGTGTTTGACTAGTAACTTTAGAGGTAGCAGTTTGCATAAGGCCTGCTGCACCCTTCCTGGTGATGGATATCACTGAGGCTTGCCTGAGTCTGCCCAAGGGTAGTCAGAGACCTTCGCTCTGGCAGGAGAGCACGAGCCATGGTCTCCCTTCTACTGCCGTCTTTGAGCCGCCCTCTGACAGGGAGAGGCTGCAGTTACTTATGCAGAGTTATGCCAGCTCCTTCTTCTGGCACTGTCTTCCTGTGTAGTTGGTTCCCAGCCACTGACATGATCTGATCCACAGGAGAACAGGGAATCTGCAGGGTGCAGTGAAGCTGACTAGAATTCGTCTGTGGGCTTATTTCCCTCTGGTATAAATTGAGATCCAAGCATTGCTTTGTTTTCTCTGGCTGCCTGGAGAGCAGGCTGCTTATCCACCACCCAATGGGGCCCATCAACACTGCAGTACCTGTCAGAGATGATGATAAATATCTAGGCCAAAGGTTTTTTAAAAAAAATCTTTGCAGTGGAATGGGATGATCAATCAAGATGACAAGGTAGTTTCAAGGAATAAAGCAGGCTGTGATATAGCTACCCCAGAAGTCAGTCTGTACTCTGCCTGTCCCACCCACCCCTACTCCCACCCCCCACCTAGGGAAGACCTGCCCACTTCGAAAGGGTTAGGTCAAATTAGGCCAGAGTTTACAGCTCTCTTCCCATCCATTTCTACGTCCACCAGAATTCTCTAGGTCACTTTGCTGAGCAGCCTTCATCCTGTAGGCAAGCACAGACCAGTAGGACGAGGGTGGCCAGGGTACCTTCCTGTTTTTCTGGCCCAAGTGGACTTGTCATTTGCTAGCTTTGCTTCCTTCATGGGAGAGACCAAGCCCTGGACTAAGTCACTCTCCAAACATTCCTATGTGCAGATCTGATGTGTCACAGGTGTGTTCATGATGAGGGAAATAACATTTCCAAAGGATGTCAACATCATCTGGTTCTTTCCATGGCTCAGAGCCCTCTTCCATTCTGTCTGCCACAAACCTGCCCCCCTTCCCCCCTCCCCCCAGCAACAGCCTGGCCTCAGCTCAGAGCTCTGGTTCCAGAGAGCTGCTTGAGGTCTTTGTACCCTGAAATTGATGAGAGACCACAGAACAGCCTCAAAAGGCCCAGCCTTGTCACAGGCATGCTTGCTTAAGCCCCCCTTTGTGCTCCAGTGAGAAGGATTGGAGAATGGAGGCAGGCATTGGTGGTAAACAGGAAGGGCCCTTTCCAGCAACCCCCTCCTCCTCTCCAGACCAGTGTTTGCTCACAGTTTTGTCTCTGGCACCTGACATTTGCCTAGGTACATGGGTAGGCAGGCAGTGTCTGTGAGTAAGCCACAGGCCCACAGCTCACACAGGTGATAGGGCATGTCCAGGGAGGGGCACTGAGGGAGGAGTTTCCTCCGGTAGATGGTAACGGGGTGGTGGGCACTGAAGGGCAGTACGCCATGACCCTGAGTGTTTTCCCCAGAGCTGCCTCTGGACCCATCAGTTATTTCTAGTCCCCAACAGTGTCCCCTAAGTATGCCATGCCTTATGTTCACATGTTTGCTTCTGTGCCCTACGTCCCTTCCACCGGAAGCCTGATCTCATTCTGCATCCCTCCTGAGCCACTCTGCAGCCTCACCCACCTGCATCTAACTGGCTGTCCCAGGTATCAGTGTAGCTCTGGCACCTGGGAGCTTCAGACACCCGGGTCCAGGCCTCTCCCCTCTGCTCCTAGCTGACACTACCACTGAAGGCTTGTCTGCAAGTGGCAGAGCTCTGTTCTCCCAAACGCTCCACACTCTGCCTTCTGAATTGAGCCCCTGGACACTGCAGGAAGAGCATGCCCCTTTATTTCTTCTGGAAGAAAGTCACTGGAAGTAGCCAGCACACATCCCCATGAGTCCTGGGCAGTGGTGAGAACGGTCTTAATCTCACCATGAGGGAAGAAGTATGGGTACTAGTCTTTCCTCAGAGCTTCTCCAAGTAGGATCCAGGGACAAAGCCACGCTGTCCATTCCGTTCCACTGTCCACCAGCCATCCTCTCCTTCTGAGATGACCACCAGAATGTCTCCTGCAGAAATGTCCAGCTCATCGGAATTCTGGGCAAGAAATAGTAAGTGCATGAGTGGACTCTAGTCGGACACCAGCCCCACCTTGGCAGCCCATGTATGTTTGTCTCCTAAGGTGAACAGTCTGCTGAGTCTGCTCAGGCCTCCAGGGTGGTTTCTTTGGAGGTAGACAGTCTGTGGGGTTCCCCAAGAGACTTGGCCTCCTAACTCGCTCAGGTTGTCATGGAGACCTCCTATCCTGGACTGCTCAAACCACTGTAGCATCTCAAAGGCATTTGTCATACCCCAAGGGCAAGCAAGCTCTCTCATACTTAACTACACAGCCATCTACTGTCACCTGAGTACCCCACTACTCTACAGGCCTGAATCCCTGAATGCGACCTCAGTGCAGCCCACATCCAGCCTGCCTACACTCATGGGTATATTCAGGGCCTGCCGCTTCAGCCAGGGCTGGCATTGGATCCATCTCTGCAGCTGTCCTGCGACTGCCCTGATCACTTTCTCCAAGGATGTCGTTCTAGGACTTTTTTTGGCCATTGTGGGTCTTGGGGTCCACAGCAGCCCTGAGCTGTCAGCCTTTGTGGACCTCCATGTATGCAGATTCATGCAGCTAGTAGCCCAGCAGATGTTTACTGAACTCCCCTAATCTCTGATGCTAGTCTAAGTGCTCACACCCAGGCATGAGCGCCCTCGAGCTGGAGAGCGAAGGCCTCACCTGTGCTGTGTAGTCATAGAGCGCCCGGTAGTCCTGGGCCGATGCCTCATGGTTCCCCTGTGTTGCCTGCACAGCGATGGCTGCATAGACCAACTCTTTCCGCTCAGGAGTGGGAGCCAGAGTGTCTGTGGAAGCTGAGAGCAGGGTGAGACTGCAATTATCCCCCTCTCTGAGGACAGTGGTCTCTGGAGACTGCTGGGGTGGGTGGGGCTTGATCCTACCATCCTCCCTGCTCTTGGACAGTTTACCTTTCCCTTCGGGACATTAGTGCACCATCTGTGCTGCTAGGTGGGAGGCCTCTCCTCCCCACTGGGGTCTTAGGTGGAAGACATGTCCCCTGTCCCGCTATCCCCTCCCCTGTCATTTACCAGCAGGTGGTTGAGAAGACGTGGTCTTGGGACTTCCGTGCAGTAGCCCAGAGAACCTGGAGGAAGAGGGGAAGGCCTTGCGGAACCTCACGGGAAGCAGAGGGACTGGTTGGAATTCTCGGCACTCAGGGACCTCGCTGGCCTGTGGCCACCCCACCGGCCATTCTTGGCAGTCCCTTCATCCCTTCATCCCCAGCACCCTCCTCCCATACACCTCTGGTCATCTCAACACCTGCAGCCAGCAGGGCCCTATACCCAGGAGAAACCTCCCTGGAGGGAGGGAGAAGCTGCCTTTAAAGTTCTCCCACTCATTTTACTAGGCCCAGACAGTTTGAGCCAAGCAGGTCTTCCTTTCCTTGGTCCCATGGTGACTAGACCAGGTCACTCACAGGGCACACAACTAGGATCCTGGCACCTGATGACAGCCAGGCCAGAGAGGTGGCTCTGTGAAAACTTGGTGAATTCTCCAAATGTCTTGGGCTTTGGGCCACTTTTAAACCACTTGGAGAGTGCTACCGATGCCTGACAGTTAAGACACTATCCTGCCTCACAGTGAGGCCAAAGGGCCAAGGGAGCCAGATGAGGCACTTGCCCAGGACCAGCATAGTCACTGGTGAGTAATTGCAATGTGAGTGATTAGCACTTGGATCCTCTTGGACTGAGGGCTCCCTGAGGGAAGTTTGATCATGGAATAGCTCTGTGGAATGCCCTGTACCTGGACAGGGCACCAGACTGACCAGAGCTGTTCAGTCATGAGATGTGGGAGAGTTCTGACTATTCAGTCCATCATTGTCTCACCTCTTTATCACACCACAGGATGGCTGGACACTAGGGCTACCAATTAGTGGGGTGACCTCCCGGTCATAGTAGTTCTGATATGGCACCGGAGCTGTAGAGAGAAAATGTGCCAGGCTGGCCGGATTGTACCTGGCCACACTTGCCCGTTATGGCCCTGGACCAAAATTGTTTTGGTTTTTTGAGACAGGGTGCCCTGGCTGTCCTGGGAGACTCTGTAAACCAGGTTGGTCTCAAATTCACGGAGATCCACCTGCCTCTACCTCTGCCTCCCAGGCACTGTGTGTAGATAAGTATGCATTCGTGTGGAAGCTAGAGGTGCGGATTCCCTGGAGCTGCAATTGCAGACAGTTGTGAGCTGCCTGATGTGGGTGCTGGAAACGGAATGGCTCCTCTGTAAGAGCAATAGACGCTCGTAACCGGCGAGCCATCTCTCCAGCCCAGAATTCTGGATTCATGGTTTTATACAACTAGACAGGTCAGGTCATTTGTGCAGACCACTCTACTGGTACCTCCTTAAAATTTTCCTGCCTCCTCCCTTGCTCCTGAGAACACTAGTTCACTCAGCTCTGTTCCTTTTAAACTTTAAGGGAAATAAGCCAAGAGCCTAGTCCTAGAATATACTGTCCCCCAGTCTACATGTGGCCAACTCCACCCAATAGGGAAGCATGAGCCACACCAGCCTGGGCCAAGTCTAAAGCCAGCCAGGCCTGGTTCCAGGAGCTAAGCTGCCCTCAGGCTGGGTCTTACCTGGGGGCTCTCTGCCAGTGCTCTTGGACTGGATGAAGCCATTGATGTCGCTGTCCACATTACAGCCTTCAAGTGTCAGCCGTACTTCTTCATAGAGCTGCAGGTAGGAAATGAAAAAGGTTGTGTCCAGGCTTCACCCCAAATCTGCCCTTGCCATCATCACCTTGATGCCTAGCCTTGCTATATAGTTCAGGCTCGGTGCTGGGATGTCAGGCCTGCCAGAGCAATTAGAGACCTGGCTGATATTCTGAAGTTTCCTGAATACCTGAGCTCAGAGCCCCGGGCAGAGACCCATGGTGTAACCGGTTTTAAGATGGGGGACTCAAAAAAAAAAAAAAAAAAAAAAAAAGGGAAGTGGCAAAGCAAGGTCACTCTAAAGCTGGGCCCACACTTGTTGCTGCCCCTAGGATGCCCCCAAGGATCAGGTGGCTTGTGGGCAGGAGTGATCGGAGCTGCCTGGGTAGTAGACTCCTGACCTGGCCAGCCCCGAGTGTTAGGCTCTGTGAGGAGATAGAGACCCTGAGAGAGCTATAGGGAAGGAGCATGAGAGAACCTAGACCAGGTTCCCACAGCAAGTCTCTGCTGTGTTGGAAAGAGTGGGCGGACACAGCCCTGAAGGGGCAGATGCAGGGAACCACAGGAGTACAATTTTCCGAGGCTTGGAGACCAGGCCAGGGGCCCTGTCCAACTCTTGTGAACTGCAGAGGTCTGGGGAGATGCTGGCAGGCCCCAGAGGACCCCATCTCACCAAGCTGCCCTTCTCCCAGCACACACCTCATCATCTTTGACACATTGCATGGAGAGCTGGTTGCAGTGTACCCACAGGGCATTACGGAGGATGGTCAGCCTGTCAAACTCCTGCAGCTGGAAGGCCTGTGGGGGAGGAAAGGTTGTGGGGCCAGCCCCACCACAGCTTAGCTAGGAGACCAGTGCAGACCACTCTGCTGCGGTCAAGTCTAGCAAAGACAGCCCTGTAGGTCCCTTGTCCTAGAAGGGAGGCTGGCAGAACCTAGTGAGGCACAGGACTCTCCTGGCTCTGTCCATTGGTAGGATGCAGGGTGGGCTTTGAGGTCATTGTGGGCTTATGAAGAATAAATCTCTGCAGATAAGGGATCCAGGGCATAGGACACATAGTGAGTGCTGGGGACAGACCCCAGGCACTAGCCAAGCAGGTAACTTAGAAGCAGAATGAAGGAGTCCCATCCCCTACTCCAGCTGCCCACAGATAGAGCAGGGGTGTATGCAGAGGAGCAGGCTGCTTGCCTGGGCCACTTGCCTCACAGGTGGTCCGGTGTTCCTGCTCCCATTCAGTCCTCGCTCTCTCCAGCTGCTCAATATTTTGCCTGTACAGTCGCTCTACAAGCACAGGGGACCCTTAGGCAGGCCTGGTAGCCTGGCCCTTTCCTGAAGGTTTCCATGACAGGATCGCTTCTGTTTTCCACTCTTGCAGAGACCCACCCAGCACAACTTCCCCCAAATCCTGGGAGCCCCCTCCCCAAGAGGACTGGCAGGCTACTGGTCAATACACACAGCGGCCACACTGCCCTGCTGTGCTCTGAGGCCAAGGGCTGGAGCAGAAGTTCTGTATATACAGAGTTCTGCTCCATCCTGTGTTCCATGGTAAACTTTACACATGGTAAACTGAGGCTCAAGGAGAACCTCTACAAGCTGCTGTACTACAGCAAGCTAGAATCACAACATGGTCATCTGGCGCCTGCTGAGAGAGCAGCAGGTGTGGAGCGGTGAACGGGAGGAAGGATCCGCCCCTGGGATGGGAGGACAGCTGAACACGAGCATTTGCCACTGAGTGTGTGAGATGAAGGGATGTGGCCCTGTGGATCTCAGGCTCCGAAACCCAACGGCTTGGGTTCAAATGCTGACCACCACTTAATGGCTGTGTGACATCTTTGTGTCTGCATTTCCTTAGGTTTAGAGGAAACAGTCATGAGTGTGTCTGTGGCTGAGGGAGAAACATGCAGAGTGACAAGGAGTGGCTCTGGAGAGCACACCTGGAGTGGCACACAGGGACACTGCTGCCATGTGGGAGAGCACCAGGCGAGGGAAGAGAAGAGCAGTGGCCAGGGCCTCGTACCTGCCTCTATGGCGGACTCCTTGCACTGCTTGGCTTTATTCTGGCTCTGAGGAGACAAAAGAGTGGCATTGACTTCCAGACCAGGAATCCTGGCACTGAAACTATGCAGGTGTGACTGGCACCCTCTGGCCACTCCAGGGACATCCAAGGGTGGGTGGGTGAATTGCTGCCGAGGGTACCAGGCTAGTTCCATGAAAAGGAATTTAAACAAACCGCGCCACCAGGAAACTTGAAAAATGCAGATGCTGAGACCCATGTGGCCTCTGCTGCATTGCTGCTCAGAACCCAGGCTTGGGTCAACCAGGATTCAAATCCTCCACAACCCCTTGCTCTGTCTGGAGCTCAGCTTTCCAGGCTGGGCAACAGGAGTTAAGGACCCTGAATGCTCAGTTACCCCTACCCTCCCTGGAGGTTGCCTGTGCTGCAGAGGACTTGTGCTCAAGAATGGCACTGGAGGACACCCATCGCACAGTGAGACGCTGAGAACTGGAAAGGGGTGAGCAGCTAGCGTGACCCCAGATACGCAAATTCAGGCAGGGATGGCAGCCCTTTCCTGCCTACCAACTACCCTGCATTGGGTGTCACAACATCCATCACCCCCACTCCCACCCCCAGCACCTTACATACCTTTTCTACTTGCTTCTGATGGCCATTGGCACTCACGCGCTCAAAGGCCTGCTCAGCATCATCTGCATCCCGGCACTTCTGGTCATACGCCTTCTTTGACTGAAAGTGCAGACAGGTGTGCCTGGGGTGTGTGGGTGTGTGTGTGTGTGTGTGTGTGTGTGTGTGTGTGTGTGCGCGCGCGCGCGCGCGCGCGCGCCCTATGTGGGGCCTCAGCGTGAGGCTCCCTAAGCCTAGGCCCCTCCTGTGGGGGGCTCTGGTGGAGTAGGCATCCTTCCCAGGGACAGAGATGTAAGGGCTGAAGCCTGTTCCCAAGGAGATTTCAGGCCCTTATACCTCTCAGATGTCCCTTCTCCCTGCTACTTCTGGACTCCTCAGCTGACCGTGTGGGTCACACTATGGACTTCTATGTGTACAGCTGCCCCTCTGTCTTCATGCAAGATCCTGAAGGACTTGGGCATCCAGCATATCCCCCCAATAGGTCAATATACATAGCAGACCGAGGCCTAAGGCAAGCCTGTCCCAGAGCCCTCCCATTTACCTCCATGGTCTTCTTGTAGAATGACAGCTTACTCTTCTGGACACGGTCCATGACGGCCTCATACTGCAGGAGACATGAGGCCTTGAGCTGGGGGCTCTGGCCTCAAGATGCTCCCCTATGCCAAGAGGATGGTTGTCCTTGTCCCTGGGACATTACACCCCTCCAAGCTCGTGTCCATGTCTACTCTCTCCTAGTTACTTCCTTCAAAACAGTACCACTCGGGTGTGGTATTGCACACCTTTAATCCCAGCATTTGGGAGGTTGTGGCAGGAGGATCTTTGAGTGTGAGGTCAGCCTGGTTTATATAGCAAGCTCCAGACCAGCCAAGGTTATATAGTGAGACCCTGTCTCAAACAAAAACACAATACACTCAGAACAGAAGGACAGAGAAGCTTAGGCTGGGGCTATGCCCACTGTTTCCTGACTTGGGCTCGCTCCAGCCAGGGAGCATCCTCACCTACACACAGATACTCACGAGTCCCGAGTCTTTCATTCCCAAACCACCACTTGCCAAAATCGTGTGTCACCCTCTCTCTCCACAGGGGGTGTATGTATATAGACCCAGTCAGGCTCAGGGAAGGAGCTGTTCTGACCACAAAGCTCATAGTAGCCCAGCCAGGTCTCCCTGCAGTAGGTTTTCCACATGCTCAGTGACAAGTCTCTAATCAGAGGGATCACCTGATCAAACACTCAAGGCCAGGCAGTTTCTGGAGCTAGCATGGGAGAGCCAGTTGAGATTCCTGTAAGCTTGAGGCTGTCCAGATGGGCAGACAAGGTGTGGTAGTGTAGTGAGATAGTTCTGTGGCACTGACCACGCCCATTGGGGGGATGGAGCCATGGGCGGAGTGACCTGTGGAAGGAGGTCGGAGGGGGCCAGGAAAGGCGCTCTCTTTCTGGCGTGACTCAGAAAGGAGAGGATCGGGTTGAATTTCCTGGTGTTCATCTGTCTAGGTTGTAAGTTATTTCTCCCTGAATAAACATCTATTCGGCCTACTTGTTTATCCTGATCCTTATTTACCGCGATATGGTAGCTTGAATATAATTGGTCCCCATGATATCTCATAGGGAGTGACACTATTAGGTATGTCACTGTGGGGGTGGGCTTTGAAGTTCTCAGTCAACTTCCTGTGGCCTACATATCAAGGCCTAGCTAGTACCACATCTGTCTGATGCTACCAAGCTTCCCATCATGATAATGAATGGAACATCTGAAACGGTAAGCAAATCACCCCAGTTAAATGTTTTCTTTGTAAGAGTTGCTGTGGTGGTGGTGGGGTCAACCCATACTTAACCTGACCTTTCCCATGTGCAGGCCTCCCCTCAAATTACGAGTATGTGGGGAGCATGGATGGAGTTAAAAATCAAGAAAGGGGCTAAGGGTTAGGGTAATGGCCTAGAAGCCCTGGGTTACACATCCAGTAAGCTTCTGGCAGGGGCATTTGGTGGACTTCAAGATCTACAGAGAAACCCTAGAACACAAGGTACACAATGAACTAAGTTAATGCCTTAGAGCCCTATTTGTGAAGGATCAAGTTCCCAAGGCAAGTGATGTCAGTAAGAGTATCTCGTACAAGAGAGAAAATGAGGCACCGGAAGGGAAAGGACCTTTCCTGGATCCCCAGATGCTGCTTGGCCCCAGCTCTGAAATTTAGCTGCTTACCCTCCAGGTGGGCCAGGTGCTCAGCCAATCAGAGTCACAGGCTTTGGAGAGTTGTTCCCTACCCCAGCCTTGCAGCCTCCCTGCAAAGCAACCCGAAACCTGAGCTTACACACTGCCTGCAGTGAGGTGCTCACTTCCTTCCAGTGTAGCCACTCCTTGTGGGGCACAGTGGGAAATGCTTCACATGCTTAGCTGCGCCTGAAGTCTGCCCTGCACCCTTAAACAGTGTCTTCCTCCTCCCTGCCGAGCAGCCCTGTAGAGTACTGGTCCCATGTCCACCTGTCTGCAGAACCAACAGTACTAATCCTCATGTTCAGGACCAACTCAAGTTGGATCCTCTGGACCTGATGCTGTCCTTGACCCTCTGCAGTCTAAAAAGTACGGTAGTCGAGCCCCACATTTTCCTCTTCCTGGCATGGCAGCCTCCATGGGACATTCTGTCCCAGAGCTAAGCCTTTATATAAACCTCATTGCTGTGGTTAGTTTCCATTGCCAACTTAAATCCCTAGGAAGACAGAGACCCTCAACTGAGGAATTGCTTCCATTGGATTGACCCATGGCGTGTCTGTAGCCCATTTTCTTGACTGTTAATAGGAGGGTCCAGCCCACTGTGGGCAGTAGTACCCTACGCTAGCTGGGCCTGAGCTATCTAGGAAATGTATCTTGACATGAGCATGGAAGCAAAGCCAGTAAGCATTCCTGGTGAGCCCTGCTTCAGTCCCTGCCCTAGCTGACCTCAGTGATGGATTGTGACATGGGAAGGCTAAGCCAATTAAACCTTTCTTCCCAAGTCAGTGTTTTATCACAGCACAGGAGAGCAAACTAGAATACACTCCTCCCTCTCATCAAACCATACATCCCAAATGGCCCCCAGAACAGGGGTGACCTCAGCTACCCTCCTTGGTCCCTGCCCTCCCTCCTTTAGTCTCCCATCCCTCTTTACCTTCTTCCGCTGCTCTTTCTGTCTCTCACGGAACTCCTCCAGGCTGCGCAGCTCCTCACGAAGGGCCAAGGCCAGTTGGATGTGTGCACTGCCCACATTCTCCGTCTCTAGGGTGACAGTGTGGCCTCTGCCTGGACCGGTTTGGCAATCTCACACTTCACCTCCCACCCCTCACATCTTCCATATAAAGTTGGACCACACCCAAGCACACACCCCAGTCACCCCTGGGAGAGGTGGGCCCTATAGCCCTGCCGCTATAGGGGATGGTTGGAACTTACGCTGCTTCAGGGAGTCAAAGGAGGTCCTCAGGGAACTGCAAAACAGAAGTTCAGGTCAGCAGACAGGCATGCTGCAAAAACCTGAAGTCCTGCCTGGCCTATGGCACTTTTATTTTGGAGGGAGGGTCCCAAGCCGTATACACTACCTCTGGATGCAAGGGACCCTTTGGCTATGGTCATCGTTAATGTAAACCCAAAACTGGCATTATAGAAAACAAAGTTGCCTTTGCAAATTACAAAGCAGACCTTGGTATGGCGGGAAAGAAGTCATCCACCCTCACTCCCTGCTTCTGTTTGCACACCTAGAGAAGAGGGGTGGGTCTCAGGAAGCTCCCTGCCCTCTCTGAGACCTCCCCTCCAGGGCAGGGACCTAGTCTAGTGCTTCTGTAACCCACTGCTGATAGCAAGAAGCTGAAGCAGGGGAATGGCCTTTGACTGCTCCTTCCAGCAGGTGACCTGGAAGGCAAATGGAGAGGGTGGGCAGGGTCACAGGCAGGGAGAGCTATGGCATCGGACTGCTCCAGGGAGGGCCCCAGGGGGAAGGAAAGGAAGAGGCTACACAGGACATAAGAGCCCAACAGTGCTCAAACAGGAGGGGGTGCTACAGAGCTATTGCAAGCACCTGAGGGGCGGGGTGGCACAGCTTGGAGTTCTAGTACTCGGGCAGCAGAGGAAGAAAGCCACAAGTTCAAGGCCATCCTGGATTACACACTAAGCCTCTGTCTCAAACACCCCACCCCCATTCCCAGAGATTTCCACAGGGCTTGGTTTACTTGAACCTTATTTTAAAATTGCTTCCTAAGTATAAGCATGCCCCAAATAACAAATGATGGACACCCGACTAAAGAGCTGTCACTAAATGCTGGGAGTAGCAGAATCCAGTGCCCTGTATTCTGTCTGGCAACCTTGTTTGCCCCAGAGCGTGGTGATGCTGGGTGTTGAGCTGAGGTGCCAGCACTCCCACCCCAGACACACTGCTGTTTATCAGTGTGTACAGGGAGCCTGGGGCAGATACAGGAACCACAGGTACAGCCCACGGAGGGAGCAGGGCCTTTGAAGGGCATGAGGTGTGTTCAGATAGTGGTGTAGAGATCAGGCCACCTCCTACTGTGGGCTTCCATACACAACAGCAACCAGTTAGTTGTGCTGGAGTGGAAAACTGACGCTGGAGCATGGCAGGCTCACTAGAAACACAGTCTTTCACCGTCTCTCTGCAGAGCGCTCTCCTGCCCCCTGGTGGTAAAATTGCCACATGACACCCATCTCATACTGAGCCCCACCTGCCTGTGCTTAGGGGTAGAACAGATAATGTTCCTCTTCTGCTTGGACAGTTGGGGAAACTGAGGCCAAGGAGGAGTGGCAACCTGTCAGGACCGCTGAAGGAGGATGATGGGGTCCTCTTGCTCAAAATGACAAAGCCACAGAGCAGCCCTAGCAGCCTAGGAGCCATCAGCCAGACAGATGTGCAGGCCTCTGCCAGTGACCTGACACTGACCACTCTCCAGGGGCTGCTGACACCGTATGAGAATGGCTAGCTTGCCTCAAACCCACAAGCCAAGATACCTGGTAATTGCCATTTATAGATAAGGAAACTGACAGAGGCAAAAAGCCACCCCACAGCCAAATCTCAAGGCTAAGGCCTGGAGCGATGGCCCAGGGGTTCTTGGGGTTAAGAGCACATTCTGCTCTTGCAGAGGACCTACGTTTGTTTCCCAGGCAGCTCATACCCCTGTGACTCCAGCTCCAGAGGCCTGACACCTCTGGCCTCCATGGACACCTGCACACATCCACATGGATATACAAACACATTTTTAACAAACCTTAAAAGCAAAATGTCAAGGCCAGCCTTCCACTTTGCAGAGGAAGGCAGGGGATATCTGCTGTGGTGACCCACTTTCTCTGGCGTGACAGGGGTCTGTCATCTACCACCAGTCCAGGCAATGCTTCCTGAGGACCTTTGGCTTGGCTCTCAGAAGACTCACTCAGAAAATCCAGGCTGGAATCTAGTTTCATAGTGTAAGTGTCCCCTCACAAAGCATGCACCACACTACGTCTCTCCATCTTAGCACCCCGACCCTTGGCCATCTCCCAGTTGGAAGCAGGCCTTGTGCCTACAGGAAGCTGGTTGGGGACAGGGTTACCACCCTTCTCAATGGCACCTTTACTGTGAGCTTAGTGGAGCAGAGATCATCGCACACACGCACGCATCCCCTGGCAGGAGAATCTCAGCATCTAGGTTTCTGAGGGTGAAGCTGGGGTGGGCCTTAAAGTGCCCCTGGTCTATCATTGCTCATCTGGAACCACAGAGAGGTTCACAGAAAACTAGCCTAGCTCTACTCCATCCTCTGAGGTGCCCTTCCTGGGGCAACAAGAGGAGAGGGGAGGAAGTGACCACTTCCTGGGCAAGGTAGGGGTTTGGGCAAATCCAGAGAACCTAATAGGGATTGGTAGAGAGAAAGGGTGACAGTGGCCAAAGAACCCTCTGCAAGGCTGGTCATGGGGTGAGGACAGTGACAAGCTCCTGCAATAGCTAGGCTGTCCTTAAACACGTAGGAGCTTGTCGGGTTCACTGGTGTAGCATGTGAATGAGGTGTGAGAAAACTCATTTTAAGATGTGACTAAAACTGCCTTTCATTTATTGTTATTTCATTTATTATTACCAGGGGCCTGAGCCCCTGGTTCTGTGAGATGCAAGCTAGTGTGAAGCCAGGACTCCAGGCAATAATGCTGGTTTTAGGGCCTCAGAAGGGGAGGCAGCCAGTAGAATTCTTAGTGTGGGTTATTGATGAAGCCCCTTCACCCCAAGCCTTTCCATCTACTCAACTCTGCTCTCCTGTCTTACAGGCAGAGGGGACTGGGTGTTGGAGGGTGGCCACCAGCCCGGCCCTTTTACAGACCAACACTTTCCACCCACAAGTGTCTGTGACAAGAGCTGGGGACCCACTCACATTCCCTGCTGAAGGACTAGCCTGGGGGGGCAATGTTGGTAATAGGGTAATAAGGACAACATGGGGCTTTGTCTTCCCCTGTGTGCCCCCCAACCCCTGCTAGCAGACCAGTCAACAAGTTCAGGGCTGGATCAGGACATTTTGTGGTTCAATCAATCATCCCTTTGTTCAAACTGACCCCCACAAAGGCACCCAAGGCCCCTAGCCTGGCAAGAGACTAGGTTTAGGGGTTTTGAGTACCCTCTCTGCATTGCAGGGCTCTTTCTCTGTTTGCCTTGCTGTGTGCACGTTCGTTTGTTTTTCAAGACAAGGCTTCTCTGTGCAACCTTGGCTGTCCTGGACCTCGCTCTGTAGACCAGGCTGGTCTTGATTAAAGGTGTGTGCCACTGTCTCCTGGCTAGCTGTATGCACTTAACAAAAGCCTTCCTGTAGCAGTTGATTCTGTCTGCCAGGTCAGAAATCTTCCCTGCTGCTACCTGTCATGTTCCAGATTCTTCCTGTTCTTTAAGTCCTTAACTGCCAGAGAAATGAACCTGACCTAGATCCCTAAGACTAGCAACACTACCAAGAGCCCTCCAGGTTGGAATGGAGGGGATGACCCTGTCTGGCCAAGCTCTTGACAGTGAGGCAATCTGGAGGTCCTCTTGGAGGAGATGCTGCAAAGCACTAAAGAAAAGGAGGTGATCAGATATCAGGGTTTGTGTTCTTGAACTTCCTTGGCATCTGGGTCAGGACATATAGCAGATAGATACTCCATAAATGCTCACGGAGGACACAGACAACAGACACTTGGTCCACAGTTAGAGAAACAGTGCCACACGGGACAGCAACATCACTTCCTGAATGCTCCCATGTGTGGGGTTTCAGCAGGGCCTGCAGGCGGCACAGCTCCGAGAAAGAATGTAAGCTCCACCCCATTGTGCAAAGGTGCTGTGTATGCAGGTATTGTCACATCTTTTGAGTCTTTATCCACAAGTAGTCACGATGGAAATGCCCTCCCCTCTCCCACCCCAACTTTAGCCTGCTCTGGTCACTTATCTTGCTGGAGCCCCTGTGGGTTTACTTGCCCCTGGGGTACACCTTTGCATGAAGGCTACCCTCTAGAAGCCTGGCTCCCAGATCACTGTGCAGCATCCCCCACAGTCACAGAACTGGGGCCAAACTGAGCCAACGGCTTAGAAAGCCCAACCAGCACTTCTGCTCAAGTAAGCAGCATTAAGTTCACCTGCAGTATGGAGGGGCAGCTGCGGGAAGGGGGGGCAAGTCTACAGAGACCCCACTGCTCAGTGAGCTCATCCTGCTCGTCACTGCAAGCTATCCACTTTCACAGACAGGGAGTTGGGGTTCCTGGGGTCGTACACAAAAGGCAGACACTGTCCCTGTAGCCTTCTATGAGTAAGAAGCAAGACTCACCCAGACCCTCAACTCCCACAACCACACATCTGCAGTGGGCAGGAGATTGGTGCCACCCCCTTCACAGGATACCTAGCTCAAACCCCATCATACTGTCAGTTGGTGGCATCTCCCACCCTGCTGACAGCCATGGGTGACTCAGAGCCCACCAAGCATGCTACATACAGACCGGAATAGGCCTGTCACCTGCCCTCCTGACTTGGGTGAAGGTGAGACCGGTGGTGCCGTGTACCCCGCTCTCCCCAGAGCATAAAGGAGTACAAGATGCTGACCTCAGGGTCCAGATGCTGTTGTCCAGTTTACCCCACTCAGAAAGCCCCCAAGCCAGAAGGTTCCTCAGAGCAGCAGGGGAAGCCCCCAGCACTCTTACTTGATCTCTGTCTGGCCACCAGCCTTGCGTGCAATCTGCAGCAGCTCCTTCCCGTACCTCTCTTCTGCCTGTGCCCTGCAAGGACAGAGAAAGCACTGTGTCGCTTCCGCCACTGTCGGCTGGCTATGGCCCCGAAATATGTGCAGGACCCATGTTCTCCCATCACATTTGGCCGGCAAAATGGCTACTGAAATAGTTGAGCTGTCTCCTCCTGAAGATAAATGTCAGTTAAAAACAGGCCTGTCCTAAGAATAGCTTGTGCATGAGCTGCCCCTTGGAGGAGGCCCAGTCCCAGGGGGAGACAACAGAGAGCTCTGGAGTGTGTGTGTGTAGGTGTATAGGTACCACAATGCATTTGTGGTTGTTGAAGGACAACTTTCCCCTCCTCTTTCCACTCCCTTTAGGATTTCATACATGTGCACACTTATATTCTACAGCGACACCAGGACAGCATCTGGAGATTCTGTCACTGCATCCCCTCTTGCTAGAGGAGGGGATTTGAACTCATGTCCCCATGCTGGGTTCTAGGGGGCATAAGCATTTCCCTCCCCATCTGCCCTGACCACCAGTCCAGCCCTGCTTACCTCTGCCTGAGCAGCTCCTCCACATCCTTGCACATCTTCCTGCCATCCAGCAGCCGCTGCAGCAGAACCTCATACCCCGTGTGGGCCGTGAAGTCCCTGCACTGCAACATCGGACACTCATGAGAACCAAGAACAGCAGGGACCTTGCTGACAACCTCTCAAGAACAGCCTCTCTCTGACCTCCAGGTCCCTGGTCAAGCACTTACAGGTTAGGCCTGGCCTCATGCTGGCACTCAGATGGAGGTCCCAGAAGACGCTGGATGGCTGAGAGGGTCCTACTGAGGCTCCATGATGACAGCCAGGCCCCAGATTCTTTCTAATTAAATGCCTGGTGTGGCTTATGCCCTATGACCTCATGACTTGAGCTAAGTAAGGAAGCATGTTCAGGAGGTAAAAGTGGTGGCATCCCCTGCTAGGGTCATCTCTTCTGGGAAGCAGATTACTTTGTGTGTCAAGCCAGTCCAGGTGACCCCTGACCACTTGTCTGCCACATTTCCCGTGGGTTCTAAACATGTCTGAGGCACCAGTGTAGGCAGCTGGAAGGCAGAGATAGAGTTCAAGGACCACAAAGAAGTTCCTAGAACGTCCCAAACCTAGGCATCCCACCCGCAACTCTCCTGGCTCCTATGTGGTTGACTACAGGCCATGGGTCCTGGAAGAGAGCAGAGAGGCATCTGTCTCCCTCACTGGAGTCTTGTACTCGTCAACCCTCCACCCTTGGGTGTTAGGATGGGAGATTTGGCCTACCTTGTCTGTCTTCATTGTTCCCTCAGACCCTCTCAAAGCCCCACTGACTGAAAAGAATCCCAGCTTCCCTGAATACATATCCCAAACCCAACCACAGAGCCTGTCAGAGGAATCTCTCTAGGGGTCACCCAAACTTAACCTGACCCTTCCCATGTGCTAGGCCTCCCCTCAAATTATAAGTGTGTAGGGAGCATGGATGGAGTTAAAACTCAGGAAAAGGACTGAGGGTTAGGGTGATGGCCTAGAAGCCCTGGGTTACACCTCCAGTATGCTTCTTGTATAGGCATTGGTGGACTTCAAGATCTACAGAGAATCAGATTTTGGAAAGAATACCGGGGGCATAAATATCCCCTCACCCCAGTCTTGGAAGTATTGCACCTCTCTGTAGGATTTCAGCCCCTAAGCTCATATTCCTTTCTCTGAGCAGCCTTGCAGGTCTGGGCCTAGGGTCAACTGGCCACTAAGCTATGGATCTACTAGGCCTTAGGTGGCTATGGGACACCCCAGCCTGAGAAACTTACCCCTGCACCCTGCTGCAGGCCCATTAGGGGCAGGCATGCTCCCCTCAAGTCTAGGCTGTTCCCTGAGCCAGGCTCTCGGTTTTTGTCTTTAAAGGTTAGCCACTTTTTTCTTTATGAGCTGAGGGCCCTGTTTCCCACTCTTGGCCTCTGCCCTCCCTGGGGACTCCCAAGTCAAAGTCTGTAGCAGTATGGGAAAAAGTGAGTCAGAAGCCACAGATACCCCGCCCTGTGGGGGGGTCACTGAGCTGGTGTTAGCATTCAGGCCACAAAACCACAGAACCCAGAGCTATGAAGAATCTGTCCAGTACCCCTCAGCCCTTAAGAACCTGAGCCCCAGAGAAGGGAAGGGCCTGCCTGGAGCCATATTACAAGCTAGAACCTAGCCTCTCAGAAGATGCTGGGAGGGCTAGCGGTCTATGTTTCCTCCCCCATGCCCAGTCCTGACTCTCTAGGGGGCTCTTTCGGTCCTCTGAGTCCCAGAGTAGAAAAGGAAAACCAACCAGACTCACACTGGCCATGCTGGAGGATGTGAAAGGCAGCAAGGGTCCCTGCAGCACAGGTCTTCAGGAGCCAGTGTCCACGACACCTACAGCAAGCTGGAGATTCCCCTCCAGCCCAGTGTGCTGCGGTGGCACCAGGCACAATGAGCCACGGTCACAAGTGACCCAGCTGTTCCAAGGAAGTGCCCAGCCCCTCAGGGCTGCCCGCCTGGCCTCCCATCCCTGCCCCCTCATCCCCCTCCTCCTCCACCCCACACCGCCACCTTCTCAGCGGACAGACTCTTGATTCACTTCTCAGAGTACTGCAAAGGGAAGAAGGGAGGGGACTGCAGGAAAGACTCGCAGTCAGAAGTCCACCATTTACCCATGGCGACTCACCCAGGGATACCTCAGCTTCCTCTCCTTCCCCACCACCTCACTCACCTCCTCCTGTCCACCCTTAGCCTGTCAATCAAATCCTGCCTGTGATCTTACTTTATAGCATGAAAATAGGGCCCTGCCTGGGGCTTGAGAGAGGCTCAGAAGTTAGGAGCACTTACTCCCCTTGCAGAGGTCAGGTGGCTCACAGACACCTGCAACTTCAGCTCCAGGGGATCCAGCTCCCTCTTTAGGCCTCTGTGAGCACCCATGCACATGCACACATACACATAAATAACCAGACAAATCTTTTAAGACAATGAGGCCCTTACTCGATCCACTACAACCTGCTAGGCGTTTGCCATAAGAAGGGCTTTGCCTCTGTGAATAGGGCTTTTCTGCAGTCTAGGCAGCACTCCAGGAGCTGAGCCATTCCCAGGATACAGCCATCTAGGGACACCATGGAGGACAGCCTGCTGGCTTCAGTTGTCAGCAGCCAGCCAACACGGAGGCCTAGCCTCATTTACCCTCACCAGCCCTTTGTACCATACCCTGCTCTGGCTGAGCCCCATGTCCTTCCTAGTCACTTTTAGTTTTCCTTAGAAGTCACCGATTTGCAGGCCGCAATACTGAACTGTGTATTATCAGTTCCCCACAAGCTTCAATATGCTGAGACCACAGATGAGGGGGAATCATGAAAATTATATTTGTTTAGGCCACTCATTCATAAACCTGAAGGCCTTCACTGCAAAAAAAAAAAAAAAAATCCAAAAAAAACAAAAAACCCACTGTTCAAAAAAAAGAACCTAAAAAACAAACAAACAAAAAACCCACTGTTCACCTGAGTCTTCATAGATGTTATTTGGATGACTTCTTTTACCTGAAGAAGTTAAAATCCTCCCAACTTCTTAACCAAGAAGAGTTGTAAAGTTTGTACACATGCAGGCCACAGATTACTTAGCTTCCACTCATGCTACCCATATGTTGGACCATCCTATTTCTTGGCCCCATAAATAGCCCCCAGCCCTATCTTGCAGGCAAGTGGATCTTTGCCATGGAGCTCAGTCTCTCTGTGGATTTACTCTTACAAAGGTTTCAGTGGCTGGGATGCTGGGCAGTGGGGGAAACAGCCTGGCAGGAACAAGCTCTCTGTTCCAGAACATCCATCCCAGCCTTTGCATTGCTGATAATCCCAAGGCCTAGCAAGGGACCAATGGAAATTAGGACACATACAGAAGGTAGGGACTGCCCAAGGCCACACAACAGAACTTGGAGTATCCTAGGTTGGCTCAGTCCCAAAGCCACAGCCCCACAGACATTCAGTAGAACAAAGCCACTGAGCCATTCAGTCCCCAAAAATGATTTCACTTTGAAGCATTCAAAAATTAATTTAAAAAAGATAGCTTTTGTTAAGAATTGGTGGTGCACACCTTTAATCCCAGCACTCAGGAGGCAGAGGCAGGCGGATCTCTGTGAGTTCTAAGCAAGCTCTGGTCTACAGGGTGAGTTCCAGGACAGGCTCCATAGCAATACAGAGAAACCCTGTCTTGGAAAACAAACAAACAAAAGAGCTTTTTGTGATGCTCAAATCAAAACTCTGTGCAGAAGGTATGAGGAGGAGATAGCTTTTGGGGTTAGAGAGTTAGTTCACCTGGTAAAGTACTTACTTTGCAAATATGAGGGCCTGAGTTTGAGCTCTAGCAACCACATAAAGGAAGCTGAGTATAGTGGCATGCATTTGTAACCCTGGTTTACAGGAGGCAGACAGGCAAATCCCTGGGGCTTGCTGGCCATAGCCTAGAGGAATTAGTGAGCTCCAAGTTCCAGAAAGAGACTGTCTCAACAAACAAGGTGAATGATTCCTGAGGAGGGACACCTGAAGTAGTGCTCTGGCCTATATACTCTCCCTGTCCCTGTCCCTGTCCCTCTCCCACATGGGATAGCTTTTGAGGCTGCACATGGTGACACATTGCCTGTAACCCCAGTACTTGGGAGACTGGGGTAAGAGAGAAATGAGGTCAAGTCTGACCTGGTCTGGAGTGAGATCCTGTCTCTAAAAATGAAATGAACTATAGCAAAATATTAGCAAACCAACCCCCCCCCAGAACCCAAGTCAAAACAAAAGATATCTTTGGAAAATGATTACTCAAATTATCTCCACCTTAAAACAGGGCTATGTTTTAGGATTTAATCCAGGCGCCCTGGACTTACAGGTGTGCCAGGGTGGTCAGAGCATCACTGTCTAGAGAACAAAACAGCAGAGAAGCAGCTAGAAGTCACACCCAGCCTGGTGGCCTGGGGAAAATTCATGTCAGGCCAGGGTCCTGGGTGTTGATAGACAGTCCTTTCACCTGCGAGGCCCACATGAGCAGAAGTGGGATCAGCTTTGCCATGTAGCATCTGACCACACTGAGCACCTGTGGACCAACCCAGGCCTCCAGGAGGATGGGCGGGAAGCAGCCTTGAGGGAATGGAGCAGAACTGGGCGCCTTCTCACGCAAGGGCGGTCTGCCCCCTCTGGGGGCTCCAAGGGCTCCATTTCGGGACTTCGAGCCATCAGACCCTGCCACGCATGCCCCACTGGCTTGGAGAAGAAGGGGGCTCCGGCCCCACCACTTCCTCCTTCCCCTGTTCAGACCACGTTTAGTGGCTGTGAGGGTTGGCTCCTGAGCAAGAAAGTTCCTCCTCCTTGGGCCTGCTTTCTTTGCCTAGGATGTGTGGGCAGGAGGCTTTCTGTAGGTTAGACCCACTCAGGGTGCTGGAGGTCAGTACCAGGTACCCAATCCTGCTCAAAAAAGATGGAAGGAATTCCAGACCAGATGCGGCTCACCCCACACACATGCACGCCATGGCCCTGGCTGTTCCCAAACTCCACTCCCTTCCCTGTGGAAATGACCTCACAGTTCTCACTACATAGAGTCAATCTAAGGAGTACATGAGTTAGGGTGCTCCTAAGAGGACAGCAAACACAGATCG